GATCATGAGTCACATAAATTATAATTCGTTATATTGTACTCAATTTTTTTTATTTTTGCAGTTAGCTATAGCAAATCCAAGGTGGGAAGTAATGAACAAGTTGAAGGTAGCAAAATTTGTAGATGAACTTGGAAATAGGTGGATTTTCCTCAGTGTTGGAGATGCTGTAGATGCCTGTTTGAATGCCAAAATGGGTGATCTTAGCACTATCAATTGTTGAAATGTTTATGATATATAATCATGTTAGTTCTATAAATACAATTGAGAGAAAATTGATGCATGTATCATCAATCAAAATCGAGTTACGTATGTAATGAGAGTATCATTTTATGAAAAGAGTCTTTTTTTACCTTGAATCTCTTCCTCAGTATGGCTTTGCCAATGCCATATTATATTTCATTAGTTACATCTTCAACAATTAACTAATTAGAAGTTGAGGTTGTGATAATCATAAAAGAGAAAACTACTGGATTATTTCTTTATATATTACCAAGTTTACATATGAACTATCTAAGTAGATATAAGAAGAAGAATTTTTAGGAATAACAAAGATAGTTATCATATATTAGTGCACTGTAGTTATAGATTTGTTATTTGCGCTTCATAATTATATTTAGTTTGCTATGAAATATGTTCCATTTGTATTCAAAATTAATATTAAATTGTTTTGTATGTTAGGAACGAGGATTTGAGATGAAAGTTCATGAAATAACTTGAAAAATAACAAAAAAAATAAAAATGTGTCTGGTGGGATTTGCACATGAGGAAAAATATTGGAACAAAATTTTTTATCAAAAAAACAATAAATCTCTCGATCATTGTTTAAAGTTAGTAGCGAGCGACGACAGCGATATGGAGGAATATTTCTATATGTTTAAGCATTTAATCACTTAAAAGTTCTTTTCTCCCACCAATATGAGAAAATCAATTTTTCTTCCCTTTCATTTCTCATTAATTTTCTACATTAGAACTCAACATAAATCTTGAAAAAAAAAACCTTAACATATATAATACTAAGAAAATATCATGAAATAAATGCTCTTATAAAAATGGTAGCAATAATTAATCTTATTTGTTTAATATAAGTAGAAATCAATTAGCAATTCAATTATAAATTTGGCAAATATGTCATATTGAACTCTTCTGTTTGAGAGGTATTTAGGAATAAATCATGTAATTGGGGTATCTTTCTATTTAGAGTGATAAGACAATAATTATGAACTCTCGAAAATGAGTCAAATATAATTAACAGTGAGTCTATTGATAATTGTAGGCTAGTTTTATCTTCCTACTAGCGTATAACGAAATAAAGTTAAGGTGCATCAAATTGGACGTATTCGACAAGATCTACTTTATTTATATTTTTTTCTTTATATAAACAATAGGTACTCATATGAAAACATTTTCAAACATAATAAATGACATTTAATTTCTTATTAAATCATTAATCATGTCTCATGCACATAATGGTAAAACATGTCTCGTAATAGTAAAAACATCCGTTGGAATTCTGACCTTCAAATTAGCTTAAGGAACAAATACATTTTATATATTTTTTTCAGATTACAATAATTACGTCTTGTGAGGCAAATAAAATAATAACATAATATTTTATCGCGAAAACCCCTACTCATAAAGGTAAAAACCACGATCTACACCTCTGTAAGATTTAACTTCACTTTTTTTAAACTCCAAGTCTCGACACAAGATTATAAACCTATGTAATCTAAGGAATTATAAACTCTAATTATTAGAGAAATTATAAACTATAATTCCTAACTAAGAAATTATAAACTCTAATTCCTAGCTACACAAGACAAAAACCCCAGGTTTAAGTCTTCTACCGTCTGTCAAGTTTCTCAAACTTGTTAGACAAATTTTACACACACACTCGATTGTAACCAATACTCTTAATTACAATCTTATAACTTTTTCCTTACAAATTGGCAACACTCCCAAGTAACTCTCAAAACTCTTGATCGTGTTTTGATCTTCTCTATGTAAGTGGACAATTTTTCTCAAGCGAAACTATCGCCCTATTTATAGATTTGGACTTGAATCCGAAACCTATTTCAACTAGAAATCCTACTTTATCTAGGACTCCTTTTTTGTGTGGAACTCCTAGTTCTACTCAAACTTGTCTTCGCCGCATCTTCAACTTCTTGTCTGAATCAACTTTGTCTTTGCCTCTACAAATCCTTGTTGAACTCAACTTGGACTTCGTTTCTACCCTTACTGTTTGTTGAACTCGACTTTAACAAAACCTAGTTGAACTCGAAATCCTTCACGTAGAAATCTTCATTGAATGAATGCGACTTGTATAGTAAAAAACTTTCTACACAATTTCCTTAATTAAATAAGAAAATTTCCTTAATTGATCATGCTTCCTACTTCATTTCAGATTTGAAATCACATTCACGTCATTATACTTCCTTCTTTGCTTCGGCTTTTTAGTTTGTCGGTTTTTCCTATTTGATTAAGAAAACTATCTTGCCTGCGAACTCCTTTTCAAAGAAAACTTTTTATGCTGGTTGCCTGTCGAAAGCAATACTTTCACAGCTTTATAATTTCTAATTCGCATGGTTGATGTTCTCTTATCCAAGTCGGATTCGGCCTGTAAGAAACACGTCGAGCAACTTGTATCTTTCATCTATTCCCCTTTTTGATGATGTAAATTTTATTTGCTTGCGTTGAATATCTAAGTACACACATAACTCATATGCATGTTGTAGGCCTTGTTAAACTCAGATCATGTTTGCTAAACTTGTTTCATGATGCAATCTTTGTCACTCTTCAAAATATACATATTCATGTGTATCTATCAATATCTCAAATAATGATTTAGATTCGAATAATTTTTTAAGTACCATATCAAGTAAAATACTTTTCATGCATGTTATTTCAAAGTGTGTTTAGACATTTAGTGACATATTTCCTTTTTAAGATCATCTATAAACTATGCAGGGACAGAGCCAGAATATACTAAGCGGATTCATCCGAATCCTTCCGCGAAAAATATTTACTATTTATGCATAATTAAAATTATTTTTTAGGAATATATAATAGAAAATATTCACTATTATGCATATTTAAAGTTATTTTTGAAATTAACAATCTCTATGCATGTTTTCTCTCTAAATATATTGTATATTTGCTGAAAGACCAACTTCCCTTTACATCTAAAATTATATTTGGGCTAGGTTAAGTCTCTTTCTAGTTTCAGTCTTAATATAGTTTGCTTTCGAGTTATATTTCAACTATATCGATAATTGTGTATATATAAATTTTTTGAGGCGTTTAATTCTTTTTTTTTAAAAAAACTATTTGTACTCTTGTCTTACTCTCTCTTTACATCAGGTTCTCAAATGCCTTTAAAATGATTTTCAAAAATTAGATGGCGACTTAATTTTAAAGAAAGAAGCAAATAAAAATAAGCTAAAGTTATGAAATTCTTTTTACTTAGTTTGAAATTGATCCTAATAAATAACAAGATGTTCTTTGATAAAACTACTTAATAAGAATTGAGAAAGGCATAAATCGATACTCAAGAATTATTGCCATTAGTGTTAATTGGAATTTTCTTTACTAATGACATATTAGTTAATTGTTAATTAATTAACCATTATTTTTCAAGATTATACCCAATTTGAAGTAAAGAAAAAATATTAATAATAGCAAGGATAATACGAGAGCTTATAGTACATGAGTCTATATTATTGACGTCATGTTTTTCATAAATTATAAAATAACGTCATATATTAAAATCCAAGGGAATATAAACACGTACCTTTCGATGTTAGATTTTGATATATTGCATTTTTCTCCCTTATTTTAAATATTATGCTGAGTTGTCTTTTAAAAATTCTTTGCCTATTTTGAGATATATCAATAAAGTTTTTAGATTTAGTATTTGAATTATAATTCTTTTTGTTTGACTTGTTTTTTGTTTATATATTGTAAGTCTTCCAAAAATATTTAAGAAGTTGACCGTTAACAATAAGAAGGCTCAAATCATTTATGTTAATTAAAATTAGATAAATCTTTTAACCTTTCTAATATAATTTTTATAAGGGTGTTTTAGTGGATTAATTGACATATTCATAGATTTCATAGCCTATAAATAGACACATTTGCTCCTTATTTTTTCATCATTTCTCAAGACTAAGCTAAGGTTGCTTCATTTTCTCTATTCTCTCTTTTTCATATATGGTCTAGAAATTTGTTTTCTTCTTTTTATTTTCTCATTTATGTTTTTGTAAGAGCCATAAAAAAGGGAGAGATTTTCTTTCTTGTACTTATACAAGCCATGCTTCAACTTTTAATTTTAATTTTTTTATTCGGTTCATCTTTGTGCGGATAATTAAAATCTTCTTCTTTTATTTTTTTCTTTATATAGACTTTTGTTTGAATTTACGTGTAGTATTTGATTTTGCGTAATTGAACAATGTCTGAAATTATAATTCTTAATACGGATGATTAAATTTTTTTCTTTATATACATTCTTGTTCAAATTTACGTGTAGTATTAGATCTCGCGTAATTGAACAGTGTCTGAATTTGTAACTCTTTATTTTGTGCGAAGATATTTTTTATTTTATTTTTTAATGATTTTTTGTCAAAATTTTATGATTACAACATTACTTTCAGTCTTCTTTTCTTTTTATTTTTTTGTTTAACACAAGTTATATATTGCTAAAACTCTATTTGAATAATTTCTATAATTTAAATTCAGTATTTTAACAAATTAAGTATTTGAGAAGGAAAATAACATTATGACTTAATTTGCATGCGTGTGTAAATCTCTAGATCTTGATTTTACTTTTTTTAATTTTATCTTTTATACCATAGATCTATTAAAATTTGAGATATATATTATTACTAGATAGAGCATGGTCGTGCAAAGCACGGCCCAACATTAAAAAATCATTATTTCAGAAAAATTAGTGCATTATATAAAAAATCTGATTTTCACATTAGTGAATTATAAGTGGTATAATATCATTGCAATAAAGAAGCCGATCATATTTTACATATATGTCAGAAACCAAAAGCATCCGCTTTGTACATTACACAAATCTCTAGAACTCAAAAATAATATCAAATATCTTTTCTTTTGCAAGTGTGTTCCTGTAAAATGGGGAAGAAAAATGATGTCTTACATAAACGAGAGGACAATTTGGCTAAAGCTTCACATTTACTGAACTCGGAGGATTTGGTCACTACTAAATTAACTTTTTCTTCTTACCAGTTCTAAAATAATATTCCAAGTGAAAACTTTTACTGGGTAGGGTCAGATATTAAGTCTTAGTGTTCTCTCTTTATCATGGATCATGAGATCTAGATACAATTCTAAAATAATTAATAGAACATAGAAATTACTACGCCATAGTTTTTTTATTCGTAACCCTTCTCATCATTTCAGCCTTCAGGCACCTTTCTTGACAGTCTGTTCACCCCAATTCAACAATATCCCAACCTGATCAATCTAGATGTGCCTGCGCATAGAGCACATTAAGGAAGCTGCCAGCAGCTTGTTCAAACAAGTCAGGGCAATTCCCATGCTAATGTTGTAAATCTCAAGTTTATTTCTCGCAATATTTGATGCTAGAATAATTATAAATTCAAGATTTAAAGAGTCTAAGCACATCTTAAAAGCATTTGACAAACAAGGAATCAATAATTATGTTAGCTTCAAGTCATATGTATAAGAAATAGTCACCGATAAATAAAAAAATGATTCAGGAACATTGAATTACATCAAGTGACTTTGAGATTGTGAGCATCAAGCCATTGACAATTGTTCCAAATAATATAATTTTACCCTTCTATCCTTATTTAATGTTTTCTCAAATTAACTTTATAAAAAATGGTGAATACATTTTCAAGCTTTATTAACTAATCTATCAAGAATATAATAGGCAAAATATGATAATTTATGCATAAATTTTATAAATGACAAGTATTGTGATCTATCTATTTATAGAAAGGATTGACATATAAAATAAGACGGAAAGAGTAATATATTAGGTGGCAAGGGCGTGTGCAGATCACTACATAATACAAATTAGGGTGACATTTTAAGGGGTATATAAATATTTTTCACTAAATATAAATGCTTAGTTGAGAATTAGCTAATAGATTTGGAGGTGGAGGTGTGTGTGTGCAGGGGGGGGGGGATTTGGCTATTTTCTCAAACTCATTTGTGATACCTAAGTCTAAACGAGTAAAAATTAACAAAAATGATACTCTCTCCAACCCAAATATGCGGTTTTTTGGTGTTTATGAGCAAAAGATACACACTTTGGATTACCTAAAGTATTCAGATTCTTATTATTTCAAATAAGATATTTAAAATTTTGAGAGGTTGAATTCACTGTTACGAAAAAATGGATCTAACACATAAATTAATAAGTTCACCTTTAGGTTTGAACACATTAATTATTAAAATATCATCTCCAATTTTGTCTGAAATTGTTATTGTCGCCAAATGAGTATCATCGTGAATGGTAACTTCAAATCGACATCTGTCATGGAGATAGAAATAAATTGAAAATATTAACTATGAGGTAGGGGGTATAGTTTGAAATTGTTATTTGCTAAAGGAATTATACATCTCTATAAAGATAAGTTTGCTTCATATGGCAGTCTTTCATCCAGATCCAATGATGTTCACAAACGAACATAATTAAAGCATGAAACTGATATACTACGCATCTTACTCACACAATTAAAGCATGAAACTGATATACTACGCATCTTACTCACACAATTAAAGCATGAAACTGATATACTACGCATCTTACTCACACAATTAAAGCATGTTCACACACACAATCATCTTTAGCATACAACGCATCTTACTTGACATAACATACACCGAGAGAGAGAGTTACTCTATTCGTTGTTCTTTTCTTGTGGCAGATCTTACGTAACAACATACATGCCCTACTTGTGAAAATGTACTCAAATATGCTTGGATTATGAATCTTATAGTGCCACAAACATTAATCAGATGCAGAAAAGACAAATTAAAATATTATGCTAATCTGCTCATTCTCTCATATAACTAAATCAAATTGACACCCTTTTTGTTCAAGTGTACCTCACCTTACCCGTTGCTAGGTAATTTCGATTGTCTAATCATGCTTCTTGCATTTTTTAAAACTTCACTATTTTGGTATAATCAGGTAGTAATTGTTTAGCTCTGTTCTCAATCAAGCTATTAATCAGAGTCAGTTTTAAGCTTCAATAGTGAAACAAGAAAAATTAACAAATAAAAACTCAGTACGAAAATAACATGAAATTCCAATCAACATAAGTTAAAAGGTTGATTGTTCCTTGTACCGTAGGGATTATTATAGTTTCCAAGAAAACATTTTTGTCCCAGATGGACCTGATAAAACGTTTATATCAAGTTCTAGCAGAGGATCTAACATGTATAAAAGAATCCATAATCAACAATTTAGTATAACAGACAGAGCATGAGTTAGATTAAAAAGGAAATGAGGCTATAGGGAGTAAACAATTTACTTAGACAAATATTGCATTATCATATAATAGAATAGTTTGTCTTTAATCTAATATCAGTAGTTCCATTTCATATCTAAGTTGCTCGGACTCTCCAAAAATGTTGACATGTGTGTGTTGGATCCTTAAAATATACAACATTTTTGAAGGGTCCGAGAAAAATTGTTTCATACTGTCAAAAAGTAAGTCTTATTGACAAAAGACTGAGACAGAGAAAACTGTTGTCAAGTACTCAACAAAAAGTAAGTTAACTTCAATTGTAATGAAGAATAGTATGAGATTTTGAACAAATAAATTATGTAATAAAATCCTAACAAAGCTAAGTGAAAAGGCCTATAGCTAAGAGTAAAATGTCATAATTATAAATGATAAACTCGTAACTATATCATGTATTTACAGCCGCAAATTAAAATTAGTACATCACTCACCCTCCACGAGCAATATCAACCTAGTTCCAACATTTTCTCTCTTTTTTTTAAGCTTTAAACTATTGGGTTTCCCAAACAAAAATAAATTTGAACACCACCAACAAACTCAAATTTAAAAAAATTATATGAAGACACCAAAATTAAAATTCATTAGCCGAAGATAAAATCTAGCAACTTTATTCCAAATTCAATTTAAAAAATGTCATATGACAAAATGGAATAGGATTTAAACTGAAAGGAAAGATTGAGAATCATCATTACAATGAATGAAAAATCATGTTAGCTTTGGAAAAAAACAAACATCTTACGAAAAATAGAAAAAAACAAAAATTTTCTCATTTTTAATATAAATTAACAGGCACAGGTGAATCATCTGCATGGTGGTCTACCAACATTTGCTAATGGAACAACTTTTCCTACTGGAGTATATATCTAAATCTCTAAAATTATTTTTAATATTTTTATTTTTAAATTATCATAAAATATGAATCTTTCTTTTTTAATTTTAATATAAACTAATAGGCGCAGGTGAATTATCTGCATGGTGGTATACCAACATTTGCTAATGGACCAACTTTTCCTAATGAAGTATATATCTAAGTCTCTAAATTATTTTTAATATTTTCATCTTTAAGTTATCATTATATGAATTTTTTTAATATAAATTAATAGGCGCAGGTGAATCATCTGCATGGTGGTATACCCACATTTGCTAATGGAACAGCTTTTCCTACTGGAGTATATATCTAAATTATTTTTTATTTTCTTAAATTTTATTTTACAAGAAATTTTAATATCATAATATGATTTTTTTTTATTTTTTTTAATATATAAAATAATAGGTGCAAGTCAACCATCCACGTGGTAGCATGCCAATGTATCCTGTTGAGTCATTTCCTCAGGTATATATATATATATATATATATATATATATATATATATATGTCATTTCTTAATTTTTAAATTTTTTTATTTTGCTTGTCAATATATAAATTTTTTATTTTATTAATATAAATTTTCTTATTTTGATAGGCACAGGTTAATGACCCACGTGGAGGCTTGACGATGACTCCAGTTAGACCTATTTCCCTTATCAGTGTATGTGCTTATAAATCTCTAAATTATTCAAAAAAAATTTATTTCACTTGCTAATTAGGTTTTCTTAAATTTCATCATGCAATAAATTTTTTACTAATTAAATTATAATACATATTAGTGACATGCCATATGTTTTTTTATGAATAAATACAGAATGAGGTTGCACCGGCTTATGTTGACAGGTAATTAATATTTTCTTTAAAAATTAATATATATATATATACATAAAGAAGTGTTTATTTATCTATTTTTCAAATATTAAGTATATTTAAATTGTTACATGAATTAGATAATTCTTTTTATTATTTTTATAAATAAATCTTGCATGACTTTGAATCATAGGCCAATTGCCAATGCGTTGTACGATCCAAGCTTTAGTTTGGTTGGTTTGCCAGTGGATCCTATTTTGCGTATGTTCGTGCTTAATCCAAACTTCTTTAGTAAGTTATTTTTTAACTAATTATTTTATTTTATTTTTCAATCATTTCTTTTTAATATTTATATTATTTGCACCTTTTTATTTTGTAGGTAAAAAGCGTTACTGATCGCAAACATTTGAATGGCTAGCAAGAAGGGATTATTTGTGAAATGTTGTCCTTCTATTTTTATTTTGAATTTTGTTTATTAATAAGCAAACTTTATGGCTGTGTATTGGTCATAGTTCTCGAACTCCAATGGAAATTATGTTTCCATATTCGAGAATATTTCATTGTTTTCTGTTGGTATTATTATTTATAATAATGCACTATATATATACAGAAAGCCGCAATATATATGCAACAATTTATATCCATCGGTGGGTATTGAATATTATTATTATGCTGCCTTTATTTCTTATTTGTGAATTTGTAGTCAATATCGTTGGTAATATGTTTTTCAATAACTCTTATATTATTACTCTTTATTATCACATATTATCTTGTAATTTATATAATTTGTAAGTCTTTGTTATTCTCTTCTCTTTTTTTTATATGACCTTTGTCATTTGCACTTTTATTAAAAAAAAGATTGAGTAACTTTAATTTATCTTTAATTAATGTTTTCTTAAGTCAACTTTATAATAAATGATGAATATGTTATATTTCAAAAATTAAAATGCATTTGAATGACGATTTAAATTTTAAGATAGTTTTTGGAGCCAATTTCTTTCACCAATTGATCCAAAAAATTTGAAAATTAAATTTTTTTACCTCAATTTTCCTATATATTTTGTGTAAAAATATTTTAATTTGTTTGTTGATATTTTTTTTTTCAAAATAAGATTTTTTAGAAGGAAAAATCCTTTTTGGCCATAAAACAAGAATTTTCATTTTTTAAAAAATATTTATCCTTTTAACTTTAATGCCTTCTAATCAAGAATATATTTAGCTGAAAAGTAAAACAAATAACATATTTAAATTATTTCGGATAATACATGAATAAATATGATCCTTTTCCCTAATATATATCATCTCTTTTCAAACTAGAAATATATATTTTTACTTTTTAATCACAAAGTTAAGAAGTACTGAAGTACTAGACATCATCAACGTAAAAAAAATTATTCCATCAAAGCACCATCTTTTTCCAGAAATATTTCATAAGCAGCAGGATTGATTTTTGAAAAATCTAGAAAAATTTTAGAATGCTATTTCTGTATTTAAGCTTGATTTAATGTGGAGTATTAATGTTTATATAGATCTATAAACATAATTAACGATATCTATATATAAGATGAAAGTTTTATTACTTACTCACTACAAGTAGTAATAATATATCGTGCTCATATACAAATATGAACGCATATTTATTCAAACTCACACCTAGAGAGTTATCGAAAATTTAAATCAGTGCGACAAAAACTTATGGGCACGGGACATAAAATTCTTCGATCTTGCTTATTGCGTTGCGTGGTCACAAAAGATAGTATCACTCGAATTGTTACATATAAGGCCATGACAAGATGTTATTATCATTTATAACTTGCTCTTTTTCAACATTCATATTGGATTTGCTTCCTTTAATATCTGGAGGAACCATTGTTGATGAAAACACATTATTCCTGCCAAAAAAATAAAATTAATTTTTTTTTCATAACTTTAAATAGGAGTGCCTATCTAACCATGAACTCGTCAAATCAAGAATATATATGTTTAGATTGAAGTCGAATTAATTTTAATTAGTCGAACATTAACAGTAATATTTAGAATTTTGAAATTAATGAGTTATTAGACCAAAATGTACCTTTCAGAAGTAGTACCATAGTCGAAAATTTGTGGTTGATTAAAAGCATCGTCATAAGATAATAAATCCGCTTCGTTGCTCTCTTCTTCACTTGCCTTCACTTTTGAACTTAAATTCATCTTCATGAAATAATATAAAAATATATCATTATAGTATCGTTCTTGATTAAATATCTTACGAAATGACGTACTAATCGAAGTGTCAAGTCAATATGAATGAAGTAAAAAAGGAACGGAGAAAGTAATTACCTTTCTCTTAGTGACAGAAACTAAGAGGGTCTCAAGTTGTTTCTCACATGCTTCCAGCTCTTCCATTGATGTCATCTTCCCAGGATCAGGCTCGTACATACTGCATTAATAATTAAAGTACAATAATGTATTTTCCTCCAAAATGTATATTATATCAACGTGGTAGGATCGAAATAAGTATGTGTCATGCGGAAGCTAGTAAAACAAATCTCGCAATATCATGAGTAAAAAGACAGATGAGAAATATACGAAAAGACATAGATTTAACGTGATTCGATCAATCGACCTACGTCCATAAAAGAGATTGACAATTCATTATATGAATATGAGAGTACAGAATATAGAGAGGACTAATCTCAACCAATTCACTCGAAATACATGAGAGATAATTAATGATAACATGTCACTTGTGTCCCATAAACTATCCTCCTAAACAAAACTATTAAAGCCCTTAAAATTACGTTATGAATATTAATTAAATTAAAAGAAGCAGACCTCTTTTTATAGACTCCTAAACATTCCCTACCTGAAAACAAAATCAATCCTAAAACTTTTTCCTAAAAGAAATACTACGTACACTTTGGAGGCATATTAGCTAGGGAAAGAAAATAGCATTAAACTAATTGAGAGAAAGAATGTTGGGAAATATTAGAAAAGTCATAACTCTAACATCAAAAAAGTCATTTACTCCTTGTGTCTCCATTTATTTGTTCATTTTGTAAATGACACATATTAGCAATATAATTATAATCAATTTGTTAGTTAAGTTAGTTAGAGTGTTAGTTAGATGTCACATCAAGTTAGTTATAGTTTTGAAAGTTAGTTAGTCACATTTTTTCTCATTTTTCACATTCTTATATTTGCTACAATTCTCTTGTATATATGTGAATGAATCAATACAAGATAGGAAGTAATACATTTTTCCTCCAAATCAGTATCTGCAGCTTCTTTTCTTCTTCTTCCTTCTCTTCTTCTTCTTCTCCTTAATCGATTACTATGCATACATTCTGTTTTGGTGTGAATCACCATTGTTGATCATCTTTACATGGTATCAAAGCAAGGCTATTCTTGCTGCTTCTGATTTGAATCTACTGTCAATTTCTTCTCGTTTAGTTGTTTTTTTCTTGTGTCCAATTGGTCCTTCATCATGACAGGATCTGAAAGTGTTCCTTCAACACAAGGAACCTCTGTTAACAATGATGCACACAACACTCTCTACATACATCCTTCGGATAGCCCTGGTATGGTACTAGTTCCAGCTTAATTCGATGGAACAGGATATAGATCCTGGAGAAGGGGAGTTATGCGTGCTTTATCAGTGAAGAACAAGCTTGGATTTATTGATGGCAGTTGTGTTAAGCCAGCTGCAAGCTCAAACCAGTTGCATCAATGGCAGAGATGCGATGACATGGTAACTTCCTGGATTCTGAACTCTCTCACTAAGGAAATTGCAGATAGTGTAGAATATGTTAGTGATTCAGTGGAACTTTGGAAGGAACTTGAAGATAGATATGACCAAACGAATGGAGCAAAGCTATATCAAATTCAAAAGGAGATTAATGATCTTACACAGGGAAATTTGGACATAACGGTCTACTACACCAGAATGAAAAAGCTTTGGGAAGAATTGAACACCTTGAATGTAAAGAATCAGTGTTCTTGTGCTTGTAATTGTGGAGCCAAGGATGGATTATACAAAGCAGAACAAGATAGACATTTGATACAATTCTTAATGGGGATGAATGAGGTGTATACTGTGATAAGAGGTAACATTCTCATGATGAATCCTCTTCCAACAATGGCACAAGCCTTCTCCTTGTTGATTCAAGAGGAGAAGCAAAGGGAGTTTAAACCTGCTAATCAAATTTCTATGGAATCGATTTCCTTGAATGTCAACTCATCTAATAACAATGGAAAGGGATCAACAGGAAGGAACTACAAAGCATCATTCTCTAATGATAACTACTCTGGAAATCCTTCAGGTAACAACAATTATGGAGGGTCCAACTACTTTCCAACTAACAATAGCAATAGAAGTGCTATGGTTTGTAGTTACTGCAAGAAGACAGGGCATATCAGGGAGAAATGTTACAAGTTGATTGGCTATCCTAATCAGTCTAATAGGAACAATGGATCTTATGCAAGGCAGAATAATAACCATGAATATAGAGGAAGGAGAGTTGTAGCTAATGTTCATGGATCTACTGATGATATGGTATCTGCACAAGGAGAAGATTGCATGCAGAATAGTCAGAATCAAAAGGTTACTTTCACTAAAGATCAATATGACAACATGATGAAACTTTTGCAGAATTTTTGAGTTGAAGGAACTGATTTAAATAACTCAAATATGGAAGCTGGTTCTGTGAACTTTGCAGGTACTATAATATGCTCTTCATCTATTGATTTTGGCAAACCTTCATGTGAATGTTTCAAATCAAGTGCTGGCCTATGGATCATTGATTCGGGAGCATCAAACCATATAACATTTAACAAATCCTCTCTTACCAATATTCAAACCATGTCCTACCCTATGCTTGTTTCTTTACCAAATGGATACAAAGTTAAGGTGATAGAATTTGGAGATGTAGTGATCACATCTGAAATTGTTTTACACAATGTGCTATATGTGCCTTCTTTTAAATACAATCTAGTGTCAGTTCATTCATTAACTCTTTCAATGAGAAGTATCATTCTATTCACCAGTGTCTCTAGTTTACTGCACGCCCCTTCAGTGAAGAGGCCTCAGGTGCTTGGTAGTAGCAGAGAAGGACTCTATTTTCTTTATTCAAGATGTCTGAAGAATCCTGCTAAGCTCACTACATGCTGCTGCATATCTCACAACAGTCACAAGTCTTCTTTGTCTAGTAATAATAGTCAGGTCACAAATAAAACTTTGCATGATAATAACCAATGTACTAGTCATACTGTTTGCTCTTCTACTTCTGATGCTATATCTACTAAACATGATGTAGACCTATTGTGGCATAATAGACTTGGCCATGTGCCTTTTGTGAAAATGAGGAAAATATCTACCATTCCAGCCATTTTTTCAAACAAGCAGCCTTTTATGTGTACAATCTGTCCTATGGCAAGACAAGAAAGATTGCCTTTTAGCCAAAGTCTCACACATTCTAATTCCATTTTTGAGCTTCTTCATGTTGACATATGGGGTCCTTATCATACACCTACCCATGACAATTACAAATATTTCATCACCATAGTAGATGATTTTAGTAGATCAACTTGGACTCATCTATTAAGCACCAAGAGCAATGCCTTACAAGTTCTCAAAAACTTTGTGAATATGATAGAAAATCAATTTCAAACCACAGTCAGAATTGTTAGATCAGATAATGGACTTGAGTTTAACAACAATGAAACCAAGTTTTTCTTTGAGTCCAAAGGTATAATCCATCAAAAAAGCTGTCCATATACACCCCCAACAAAACAGCATAGTAGAAAGAAAGCATAAATATTTGTTAGAGACAGCAAGAGCTCTTCTGTTCCAATCAAAGTTTCCTACAAAGTACTGGGGGGAATGTATACTTACAGCAACACACCTTATAAACAGACTTCCTTCAGTCTACCTGAAGAATAAATGTCCTTATGAAGTTTTATACAAGAGAAAACCAAATTACAGCCAACTTAGATCCTTTGGTTGTTTGTGTTACCCAACATTACCCAAAGTTCAGAGGGATAAACTACAACCTAGAACCACTCCTCATGTGTTTGTAGGCTACCCCTTTGGAACAAAAGGATACAAAGTGATGAGTCTTGCCACAAAAAGGATACATGTGTCTAGGGATGTAGTGTTTCATGAACATTTGTTTCCTTTCACACTAACTTCAGATAAATGTGTTTTTCCCTCTATTTCTAGCACAACTTATACAAATAACAGAACTGTTTCTTCAAATATTTTTGATGATTGTATTGATTTAATATTTGATAGCACTTTGGTAAATCAAAATACAGATGTGCTACATACTCCTTCAACTCTATCACTTAATCCTCCATCTCAAAACAGACATCAATCACCTTCTCACCCTACATTACTGCACAGAAAATCACAAAGAGAAAGCAAGATTCCTTCACATTTAAAGGATTACATCTGCTCAATTCCTACCCTAAAACCTCATATTCCTATCACACAGTCCATTCCCATTGACAAAAGTTTTTCTTTAAATGCCATGTTCACCAAACATCATCACATTACTCCCAATGATATTGCATCTATTAGTCAAGCAATGGTTAAAAACATTTGCCATGATAGTGAGCCTTTATCCTATGAAGAAGCAGCTTTAAGTCCTGCATGGCAAAATGCCATGGTGCAAGAATTTGATGCACTTTATGCAAACAATACTTGGGATCTTGTCAAATTACCTGCAGGAAAACAAGCAATTGGATGCAAATGGGTGTATAAAGTGAAGCACAAGTCTGATGGTAGCATTGAGAGGTTTAAAGCCAGACTAGTGGTCAAAGACTACACTCAACAGGCTGGTGTGGATTATACTGAGACATATTCTCCAGTGGTAAAAATGACCACTGTGAGGACCTTGATTGCATGTGCTGTTAAAAAGGGTTGGGAGATGTCTCAACTTGATGTGAACAATGCCTTTCTTCATGGTGATCTTCATGAGGAAGTATACATGAAACTACCACAAGGGCTTGCTGTGGATGATTTGAGCTTAGTGTGCAAGATAAACAAGTCTCTTTATGGCTTAAAACAGGCTAGTCGACAATGGTATGCCAAGTTGACTGAAGCTTTATCACTCAGAGGATATGTACATTCCCATCATGATTACTCACTTTTCTATAGAAAGGTTGGTGACTTAGTTGTGTTTGTTGCAGTCTATGTTGATGATGTTATTCTCACAGGCACAGATACTGCTGAAATTACACAGTTAAAGGCCTACTTGGATAGTACTTTTAAGATTAAGGATCTTGGTCGATTGCGTTATTTTTTGGGGTTGGAGATACTTGACATACCAGGAGGGGTACTTGTCTCCCAAAGAAAGTTTGTATTGGATTTATTAAAAGAATATGACTGTTACAGTCAAAGTTCACTTACATCTCCTCTTGATCCAAATATCAAACTAAGGGCCAAAGAAGGAACTCCACTACCTGATCCTACATACTACAGAAAACTACTGGGAAAATTGAATTTCCTTACCAACACTAGACTGGATATAGCATTCAGTGTTCAACACTTGAGCCAATTCATGCAAGATCCTAGAACTCCACATTTGCAGGCAGCATTTCATCTTCTTAGATACTTGAAACAAGATCCAACTCTGGGTCTTCATCTATCCAAAGATTCTGATTGCTCAATCAAAGCATATTGTGATTCAGACTGGGCATCTTGTCCAGACTCAAGAAGATCAGTTAGTGAATATTTGGTTCTACTTGGAAACAGTCCAATCAGTTGGAAATCAAAGAAACAAGAAACCATCTCATTATCTTCTGCAGAAGCAGAATATAGATCCATCAGGAAGGTAGTAGGTGAGCTGGTTTGGCTTCACAGGTTGACAAAAGAACTAACTATGTCTGATTCTTCACCTATTCCTGTCTTTTGTGATAGTCAGTCTGCCATCCACATAGCTCGCAATCCTGTTTTCCATGAAAGAACCAAACATATTGAAGTCGATTGTCACTTTGTACGCAGCAAACTTCAGGAGGGGCTCATTTCATTACATCACATATCTACCACTGAGCAGCTAGCAGACATACTCACAAAGGCCCTCACTGGAGTTAAACATTCAACATTACTCAACAAGTTGGCTGTAAGATCATCACTGCCAACTTGAGGAGGGGTATTAGCAATATAATTATAATCAATTTGTTAGTTAAGTTAGTTAGAGTGTTAGTTAGATGTCACATCAAGTTAGTTATAGTTTTGAAAGTTAGTCACATTTTTTCTCATTTTTCACATTCTTGTATTTGCTACAATTCTCTTGTATATATGTGAATGAATCAATACAAGATAGGAAGTAATTCATTTTTCCTCCAAATCAGTATCTGCAGCTTCTTTTCTTCTTCTTCCTTCTCTTCTTCTTCTTCTTCTCCTTAATCAATTACTATGGATACATTCTGTTTTTGTGTGAATCACCATTGTTGATCATCTTTACAACACATATATTAAGATAGCATTTATTAACATAGTAAAGTTATAGTTTTAGGTTTATTAATTAAAATTTATTTAAAAAAGAATTAAAATTCAAAAAATTTCAAGTAAGTTTAAATGAGTATATAATAGGAAAAAAGATTATCCTTTCTTTGATTTGTCAAGATGGACAAATAAATAGGAACAACTAAAACAGAAAATAAGGACAAATAAATAGAAACGGAGGGGGGGTGGGGGGGGGGAGTAATGAGTGCTATGTAAAAAGATGATACTCAAATCAGATCATTTCTCTTGATACCCTTTCGAAAAAGACATTGGGTGTGTTTGGTAGGAAGGAAAGATTTTCTGAAAAGTATTTTTCAATGTTTGGTTGGAAAGTTTTGGAAAATATTTTCCAAATCAATTCATTTTCCACACAATTTAAAGATAATGGCTTCCTTAAAAAATTAAGGAAAATATTTTTCAAAACTCTTATCTAACTTCAAATTACAATTTCTTTTTTTAAAAAATCAATATTTTTGTTGAAAAAATAGATCTAAAGCTTATTTTTTAAAAATATTTTGATTCTTTTTTCACCCCCTGTCAGCCACTACCAACCCCACCCCCAAAAAATTATAGTTTGTTTTAAAAAATATTTCTAATTTCAAAATTTTTTTTTTCACCCTATTACAACCCCGACCCCCCTCCCTCCCCATGCCAATCATCCCCTACCAGCCCCAGCCCCTAAAAAATAGAAGAATTTTAATTTTATTTTTCAAAAGATATTTTCAACTTCAATTTCTTTTTAACTCCACCCTCACCCCTACCCCCACCCTTTGCCAGCCCCCTACCACCCCCACCTCCCAAAAAAATATAGTTTGTTCAAAAAATATTTCTAATTTCAAAATTTTATTTTTTTTCCACCCAACTGCAACCTTCGATCTCCCCTTCACCACCCCAATCATCCCTACCAGCCCCACCACCTGCAAATAGAATATTAAATTTATTTTTAAAAAATATTTAAACTTTCAATATTTTTTTTAACTCCACCCTCACCACTACTCTCCCTTCCAAAGAAAAATTATTTAAAGTTTATGTCTTAGAAAAAATTTCAATTTCAAAGTTCTTCTTTTTTCACCCCCCCCCCCCAAACAACCCCCGCCTTCCCATAAAAAAAGTATTAGGCCCCTATCTCTTGTACCCCTAATTGGCGCTGAGGAGTCTTCATCTTGGCATCCATCGCCACTCCCCATGCTGGTAAGAAAGGGGTCAACCTCAGCGACTTCCTATCGGCTTCGAGCTATTATGCCCCACTAATGAGGAATAGACAACTAAATCGAAGTCTTCATTTTCAGCTTTCGTAACTGTCATCCTCCTAAAAGAATTAAGTTTGTTTTTAAAAAATATTTTTTTAAAATAAAAATTTTACTTTTTAGTAAAAATAAAAAATATTTTTTATTCATAAATCAAACACTAAAAAAATTTAAAAAATATTTTCTACTCACTAATCAAATATAAAAAAACTAAATCAAAAATTTACTTATTTTTCCGAAAATCATTTTCTAACAAAATATTTTCCTTGATATCAAACACATCCTGTTGTGCGGAATTTGAGATAATACGAGAAAATATAAACGCGAAAAACAAAACAACAGATTTACGTGGTTCACCAATAAATTGGCTACGTCCACGGGAAGAGAGGGAGCAGTTTTATTATGGAGAGGCAAAAACAGAATTACAGAATATAGGGTTTGCCATAGCGTCTATATATAGTGCTAAGCTACGCCCTAACAGGCTTGGGCCCAACATACAGAATTGACAGATAATTAAGGGCCCAATACAACAACAGCGAGACCCCCGTCCTTTCTGTTTGTAGCGGGTCCGATTCAAGGCATTCAACACATCCTTAATCTCTCATTCACACTTTATAAAAAAATAAAATCTCAAAACACATGTATTTTGACACATCTTCATGAAAGAAGACAACTATTTGGAAATAGAACAATACTTATTAACATTGGCATGAAATTTACTAAGTGCAACACCAACAAAAGGTAAATAGATGGACCTTAATTTTTCCTCAGCTACATGAATTTGTTGTAGCAAAGCATTAATTTCCTGCCTGAGTTCCTGAGAAAATTAAAGATGAATTTACAAACATTATATCATATTTTAGCGTTGTCGCAAGCAATTAACACTCTTTGTAAATGTCTTTAATGTCTATTGTAACATTGAATCCAATTGCAATTAACTAATACCAGTAAAGACTTTAACACCTTTTTTTTTGGAAGTGAACTGAACACCCTCATATAACAAAGAAGCTAACCAACTTATAGTTGTTTTAAATGTGTAAAAGTGAAAGCAATTTTATATCCTAATTCATATATATACCTGATGAATTTGGCTAGTGGCAGAGGCAGCAGCTGGATTGGTTCCATGCATCATCCTTCACATAAATTTTACAATGGAAGTGTGAGTAATGTGTATTATTTTAATTTATATTAAGAAGCTTGGGATGTAAAAAGACAATTCTAACCCCAGAAGATTCTGACTCCTTATCACTTGCTGCTTCAAGACAAAGTTATCATATATTAATTAGCTTACCCTTCAACAAAGGAAAGGAATATAAATACAGAAATAAAATGAAAGCTACCCAGGTCGAAGATTAGGATAAAAAGGATACAGGTAATTAAGTACGTAGAAAGTTTAATGTTATAATTTTTTATAGAATTTATCGAAAATAATTTTTATATCCATAAATAAGGACAAAATATGTACATATTCTACTCTCTTTCAACTTTAATTATTATATTACTTTGAATATGTTAGTTTTATTCAAAGTGTAATGTATACTAGTCACGTCTCTATGCTTTAAAAACAGCGTTTTTCTAAAAAATAAATAGAAGGAAAAAAAGAGTTATCTATATGAAAAGTTCTTTATGATAATTCTAATATATTCAATTATATATTATATTTTCTTCCAATAAATATCACACGTGACATAGCATAAAAATAAAAGTAATTTTCTTGAAATATTTAGCGCATGAATATTAAGATAGACTTGGGGGTGTTTGGTAGGATTTAAAATGTTTTTTATGAAAAATATTTGTTTAAAAAATAAGTAGATTTTAAATTTATTTTTTCATGTTTAGTTAGTGAGTAGAAAATATTTTTCAAATATTATTTCTAGTATTTAATTTATGAATGAAAAATGTTTATGAGAAATATCCTTTATTTTTACTAGAGTATAAAGTAATTTTTGAAATGAAAAATATTTTTTAGAAACAAAATTAATTAATTTGAGGGGTGTGGGGAGGGAGTACGGAGATGATGATATTTTTAAAAAATAATTTTTTTTTTTGGTAGGAGGTGTGGGGAGGGGGGGGGGGCTGCTAGGGGGTTTGGTATGAGGACTGGTAGGGGATGGAATGGGCTACGATGCATACAGTGAAATCAGTTCTTATTTTGCACTCCCTCTCACCGTAATGAAACATATATAAATCATGAATTTTTCAGAGTTGACCGACAGGTCAGGCGTACAGAGACCATCAAAGAAGTATCTCAATGCGCCGATAGGGCGGAGGGTTGGTATATGGACTGGCAGGGAAGGGGGTAAGAGTGAAAAAAAATTGAAGTTGAAAAATATTTTTTTAAAAACAAACTTAGTTTGAGAAGAGGAAAAGGGGGCTAGTAGGTGAGGGGGGAGTCAAGGGTAGGGATTTTTTTTTTGGAGGGGGGTGGGGGGCGGTCAAGGGTAGGGGTTTTTTTTTTGGAGAGGGAGGTAGAGGGTAGGGATGGAAAAATAAAATTTTGAAATTGAATTTTTAGTTTTTTTTTTTATATTTTTCCAAAAAAAAAGTAATTGCAATTTGAAGTTGAATGAAAGTTTTGAAAAATGTTTTTCTTAATTTTAAAAGGGAAGTCATTTTCCTTAATTTTGAAGAAAATGAATTAATTTAGAAAATATTTTCCAAAAATTTTACCCCAGTCAATTATGAAAAAATTAAAAAACAATTTCCGAAAAATATTTCGTACCAAACACACCCTTGATCCTTTTATTTTTACAAGACTTTGATCATCTTTGAAGTAGATTTGCATTATTTGTTAAGGTGCTGTTTATTTAATTACTAAACGTAACATCAATATCAATATCAAATTACTGGAAACTAAAATGATATATTCAAAATTAAAAAAACAAAAATTTAATCATGTCAAAACATTTTTATATTACCTCTCTATCAAGGAGAGCACTGCAATATGATCCCCCAAAAAAGAAAAGGGTATAAGAAAAAGTAGGAATTAGTTAACACATAAAGATTATAAAAAAGTGAAATGAACGATAAAATGATAGGTATCTCGATAAATTTATAATTTATTTAATATATAAAATAGCGTAAAAACTACTAAATTATTTGGGATGAAATCAACTACTTATATTATTTATATAGATCAGCGTAAAAGTTATTAAATTTAAATGAACTTATTACTAGTGGCAGATCTAGGAATTTAAGATTGTTGGTGCTCTAAAGTGAAAATATAAAAAATATGTGTTAACATGAGATTTGAACTTTGATACAACAATACTAAAAAAGTCTTAAGTACCCATCCAGGAGCCATTGGACTAACTAAGTCATTTATTCATTGGATACTCTATGTTAATTTTATACAAGTACCTATCAATTTTTACATAAATATATATATATATTTTGTAACGAAATTAATGGGTGCTCGAGAACCTAGCGGACACCACGTGGATCCGCCTCTACTTATTACTTAATTAACAGTGAACTGTAACGTAGTATATATCTTATTGAGACATGCAAACAGAAATCGAAAAAGGAACAACTTTTTACTATAGGATAACTAAAATTATATATATATAGATAGATAGAAGAAAGCAGGGGCTTGACTGCCACGTAATCATATTCAGAAATAGATTTTTAATTTCCAAATTCCCTGCTAGACAAAAATATTAGTAGAGTAACATTTAAAAAACACAAACAACAGAAATTAATAGGATAAGAGGAATTAATCTTTTAGCTATATATATATATGATTGCGTACGTACCTTCCTCTTTCGCGTTCAGAGAGGTTCATAAAATGAGAAAGCACATCTTCGATTCTGTTTAATGAGATAATAATTAGCATCGATATAAGTGAGTAATTAATATTAAATTATAGAAAAAAGAATGATATTTAATCTGGAGTTTTTACAAAAATTGGGGGTAGTAAAAGAGATGACAAAATGGAAATCGAATTTCCACTGCTACTAAAATATTCTCGCTCTATGTTTGGATCATTGTTATCCATACTATGTTTGGATCATTGTTATCTATTATATTATATTTTATTTTATTGTTATTATATCTACAATGTTTGTTTTGCTTGTTACTTAAAATGTATTATACTATATTGCTAATGGAAATCCTATTTTATGGAACAACTTATTTGGTGTGTTTCCGTTGTTACTTAATTTCTTTTTCCATTATATCTTTACATAATATTTCAAAATACTATTTTACTTTTTACCTTAAATATGTAAATCTAATCAAACCTCCTACCCTGAAATAATTAAGGATATTTAAGTAAAATTTATAAATTACTATACAGTACGATACAATCAAATTAAACAATTAAAATATTACTAAACAACAAAATATAATCTAACCAAATATTGTGTCTATCATACAATACAATACAATAGAATATAATACATAACAATACATTATGAAACAATGAGTAACAATGATCCAAACAAAGTGTTAAAAGATGTTTAACTCAAATTTTACTAAAATATTCCTAAAAGACATTTAACTCAAAATTTTCTTTAATTACGGACTTTTTACCAGACTAAAAAAAGAAAATTCATGATATTTTTTTTTAGATAAATAAAACAGCGAATAAGAAGTGATTAATAATTAGTTTCGAGTTAAATCCACGTAAAAACTCTTAATTAAAGAGAGAACATAAAAATTCTCATTTTAACCCACAAGAAATATTGCTCATAATTCAGTTGTATAGAACAACTAAAATTATCAATATATTAATCTCATATATATAATATATATATTATTTATAACCATATAATATGAGGCCATAAATAGTGAACTACGTATATGTTTGTAGACATATACAATTCTTTTTGTTCCTTTTTTCTTTTTCAATATTTTCACTTAGTCAATTTAATGGTTTGTTAATCTAGCATGAAACTTAAAGACAAAACACGCAGCTATTAATTATTACTATTTCAATAAAAAGAAAAATAAATAAATTAAAAAGTACTAAAACTACGTAGCACTTTTGTTATGAAAAAAAAAAAGAGAAGAAGAACGTGAATCGATCATGAAATAATATAATAACTATCAACTGAATAATGATTTAAGAAATTACGTAGTACCTTTGTTTCGGAGAGAAAGACGTAAGTCGATCCGTAGGAGAGAACATGAGTAGAGCAACATCAGTGTCACACAACACACTAAGTTCATAGGCTTTCTTAATTAGCCCTTTTCTACGCTTTGAGTATGTCACCCCTCTGTTTGTCTTGTTCTCTATTCTCTTTATCTCTATTTTTGCTCTTCCCATCATTCCATACAATGTTCTTCATAAATTTTCCATGCATACAAAGGGAAAAAAAGAAAAAAAAACTTAGCTAAATTAACGATGGACAAACACATAATTTAATAGTTGATGCTGAATTTTTATAGTGCTAACCTTTGATGAGAAATAGTGTATAAGTTGAAATGGGTAAAAAGGAATTGAAAAATGAAACAAAAAGAACTTATAAAGAATTGTGAATTATTTTGTATTTTGTGTTAGGGGTACAATGGACTAAATTACGACAATGAACCAAAATGAATTATGTTCGTTGGGTTCTCTATGTCCGGCCCATACAGCGATAATAAATCCTTGGGTAAGCATTTATTTATATTATTCATTACATTATTTTTCACTATTTCCGTTTTTCGTAATTTGTATGTTTTATCTTTTTACTTATTCGACTTTAGATTTATATTTGTGGAAATTTAAAATTAAAGTACAGCCAAATGTTAACTAATGTGTAAAGGGTGTCTTTGACAATTCATTGATTCTAACTAGTGTCGGCAAAATGAGCTCATATTTTGATAACCCGCTCATATTTGAATGATTGGGTGAGTGATTGTCACATGAGTAAATGTGTTAATACACATATTTAACTCATAAAAATATGGATTACTCATTCAAAATTTATGATGTCACAAAAAGAAATTGTAATTTCTCTTCCTTTTTATGTTCTTCTATAGAACAAATTATTTTTCTCTCTAATGGAAAAGGTGAAGTCTTTGTGTCACGACCCAAAACATGTCGTGAGTGGCACCCAAACTTATCCTACTATGTGAGCGAACCAACCAATCTGAACCCCAACATTTACCAATAATAAACAAAATATAATGCGGAAGACTAAAAAAAACTCATTAATGAAATCAATTGATAACTTCTAAAATTCAATACTTATCATTCCCAAAATCTGGAAGTCATCATCACAAGAACATCTATCCTCAAATTACTAAATCTAAAAATGTCTGGGAAACTAAAACAAATACAAGAGATAGTCCATGTCCGAACTTCAAGGACATCAAGACATGAATGAGAGAGAATCCAGTCCGAGCTAGGAACAATAGTTCACCCTGAAATCTGACGTGGTGAAGACTGGCTAGAGTTGCTGTTGAGTTGAAGACGACGGTACGTTTGCTGTACTCCACAAATAACAAAAAAAGAAATATACAAGTAGGGGTCAGTACAAACACGCGTACTAAGTAAATATCATCGGCCAACTCAAAATAGAAAACAGTATATATCCGATAATATCATAAAATCAACTACAATACTCAACATGCGGCATTTACAATTACCATAACCCTTGGTCACAACACCAAGCACATCAATGAGGACTCACGCCTCCCCATCATACTCATTTGGGAATTAGGTTCATTAAATTGAGTATATTAACATATTTCAAGATTCATTCTCTTTTATTCCTCTTATGTCGGAACGTGACACTCCGATCCCCTAATACTACGTGTCGGTTCGTGACACCCGATCCCCTAATACTACGTGTCGGTTCGTGACACCCGATCCCCTAATACTACGTGTCGGTTCGTGACACCCGATCCCCTAATACTACGTGTCGGTTCGTGACACCCGATCCATATTTTATCCTGGTGTCGGAACGTGGCACCCGATCCCCTAATCTCACTACTTTCGTTCTTCAAGCCTTCTTTTATACCAAGGCATCATCATTAACAAAGTAGATTAGGGTTTTTCAAGATTTAGGATTCAATAGCTTCATCATGCTTATTTTATCACAATTATATAATCCCATTCATGCAAGCATACAATTAAGCATATAGAAGGGTTTACAACACTACCCAATACATATCATTCGCTATTAAGAGTTTACTACGAATAGTTTAAACCATAACCTACCTCCACCGAAGAATTACGATCAAACAAGCTAATTCCCCAAAGCTCTGTTGTCCTCTTCGTTCCTCTCTCGATCGATCGATCGTTTCTCCCTTTCTCTCTCTGTTCTTTCTATTTTTCTTATTCAAAATCCTTTTTCTTTTACCCTAATTAGTATATAATTAAGTATAAAAGATGACCAAAGTAACCCACTAATTAATTCAAGGTTATCTCCTTTAACCCCCAAGTAATTGAATTATTAACATTCACCCACTAACTTTATAATTATAAGCAGGAATAGTCCAAAACGCCCCTTAAAACTTTTAACGGAAATCCGACCCAGTCAGGGTTACGCAGTCTGTGACGGACCGTCGTGCCTGCGACGGTCCGTCCTGCTGAGTCGTCACAGAGTTCAGAGACTCAATTTCATCAAAGGGTCTGTGACGGTTCGTCGTGCCCACGACGGTCCGTCCTGTCATGTCATCGCGAAGTTCAGAGAGTTGTTCTCAGTACCCAATTTTTCAGAATTCTAAGTGTTTTGGAACGACACACCCTCGACGGTCCGTCGTGGGATCCGTCGACTCAGACTGTAATTACCAGAAATAAACTCTACTGCTCAAAACGACTAACAGGTCGTCACACTTTGGGGCCTATAAAAAAATATATTTTAAATGTATATTTCTTTTGTTAATTATAATTATATTTTATATTTTGTTTAATTTTATATTGGATATTAAATAATAGTGTAAAATAAACATCATGTATTAGTATTGCCATTGCTAAAGTCTTAAAGTGCATTAGCATGTTTTAGTCCTAAAATTCAAATATTCATTTACTTTGAAATTATAAATATTTTCCCCTTATTATTATTACATAAATTTATTTTATATTGGAAAGTTAGAATTTTTTTTTCTTTTACTTTTATGATTCAATACAACTAAATGAATGAAGTATTTTCAACAAATTTTATTTAAAAACGAATAAAATATTTTCTCCATGTTGATTTTTTAAGTAGAGCATTATTTACTCATGAAAATATGAGTAAAATATGAATAAACTAGTATTTCCCCCAATCCATCTGACCCATTAGTATTTTCCCCAATCCATCTTTACCCATATTAAATATGGTCTGGTTGAATTATTATCCACTTTATGTTGACGCATTTTCAGTCCACCTAGATTTCATTCAACCCGCCCATTTGCCACCACTAATTCTAACTTATAAACCAAGAATAATGTTTAACAGCAATTAATTAACGATAATAACTTAATTATCACTATATTCGTATTTTAAACGGCAGTTAGCAATCACTATAAATGTCCCTAAAATTTATAATGGTATTAGATCCAACAAAAATTAACTACTGATATAAGTTTAACACTTTTTTATTAATCTATACCATTTAATATTATTAAAAATTATTTTTATTAAAATAACTTTTCACATAACATATTTAAAATTATAAAAATTTATGAATATTTTATCATATTCTATATATCTTTAATTTAAATTTACAAAATTCAAAAATCAACTTTGCATAAATGAGTAGACTGATATCAAGAATAATGGAGTTCGGAGCCTATAGAGTATAAAATATTAATAAAAATTTCAAAATGATATAGAAAATTTTATATTAACCAAAACGGCAAAATCGCTAGAACAACAGCGATTTACTCCACTGGAAAAAGCAAAATCGCAGTCTAGGCAGCGATTTTCTAAAAAAAAATTAAAATGGAAATCTGCCTAGGCAGCGATTTTGTAAAAAAAAAAAGAATTTTTTCTAAACGAAATTAAAAATCGCAGCCTAGATAGCGATTTGAATTTTTTTAAAAAAAATCACATTTTACAAAATCGCTACGGTAGCAGCGATTTTACTTTTTTTAGTGGAATAAATCCTTGTTATATCAACAATTTTGCTATTTTGATTAATATAAAATTTTATTTATCGTTTTAAAATTTCTGTTAATATTTTATATCCTTCAAATTCTGGACTCAAAAATAACGTTAGACCCCCGTTTGCCAGAATATGGTTGCAAGTGGACCACGTAGAGTCTAATTTACCTTACTGGCCACATAGGCAGCCGTTATATATCTATATACATTGAGTGAGGTGATATATACAAATCAATTGGATAACATTAAAACTAGTTTTTTTTTTTTGTATAAATAAAATAATTTTATTGTGTAAATTAGTTGAAAAATATAGTATATAAATACAGTTAATTAAACCAGCCTATTTTATTATATATAAATTATTGAATGACATGAAATAAAATGTTAATAACCAACAAAAAAAGGTTTAAAACTTTTTAACACCATACATTTAAATTCATAAACATTATATTCATGAATATTTGAAATAAAATTTTTTGACTATTATTGATTAATCTTAGAGCTATCACTTGCCAATGTTCGATTGGAAGGCAACCTTTATCACTAAAAATATGGATATATTTCGATGGAACATAATTCTTGATTTAGCATTATTTATTTTAAGAGAAAATTAAATTAGGATAAATAAATAAATAAAATAAAACCCGTTTTCGAGGGCATAAAAATACAAAAGTTGCTACCAGCTGGTGGACCATACGTGACCAAACTATTTTATGTTTTCATTTATTTAATTTGCTTATTTGCGTGGCTTGTACACATCTTTATTCAATTTTTTTACAACACTCCTTAAAAATAATATATAATTTTAGCTGTTGAAAAATAATTAGAGAATAAGTAATTAATATTAATAATAAAATAAATTTTATTTTTTTAGTATATTAATATTAATATGTAATAGGAAAAAAATTATTTTTAAGGTAGTAACGAGTAAAAAATTTTCGTAAATAAATAAAGAGGTGACAAAGCATCATATCTCCATTTCCAACGACGACTGAGCAAACTTTGGTCTTTGGCATGACTTCACAGCTGTAGCCTTTCGTCTTTTCGCAATAGACAATAAAGGGTGTTTTAATTATATTAAGCTACCACACCCTTAACTGATAATTTTTTCGTTCGATATTATTTGTCATGATTTTTATATTTAGAGTCAAATTATAAAAATTTTGATAATATTTTAAGATATATTTTCATTATATTAATATAAAAAAGTTGTAATTTATAGCACTTTTTATATAATTTTAAAATATTT